AGGGTTAAAAATAACATTTTCGAAGGAGCATTGGCCACTTCTGTTTGAAATTAGTCTTTGCTTCTCAGTTATATTTATCTGTGATTATGTTAATATATTTTTATTAATGTGTTTAACTGATCATATAAATACTACATATTTGCACTTGAAAATATGAAAACAATTTGCTGCTCATTGCAATATAAGAATGTTTTTGTAAAAGGACCTATGTAATATTGATTTAACTCTTAATTGATTGTTTTGTAGTTAATGAGACTATTTAGAATCAATCGCCATCATAATGCATCATGCTCATTGATGAAATAAGAAGTCAAATGAGATTGCAACATCCATCTTGGGTTTGTGCAGAACATTGAATTCAGCATACGAGTTTCAATCCGCTGTGACGTTTTCGGCTCAGAGATCACGCCCTAAAGTCGACCCGCTTTCACATTTCTTTGAGACAGAGAAGAGGGGAGGAAGTGAATCGGATGAATAAAATAAAATAGCAAAAGAACCTTTCTTTTAATATCTGGTAGTGAAACTATTTTGAGGTTTTAATCATGGCTATGAACAGGCGACATTCGTACACTCCCCGGGTGAGTAACAGGCTCCTCTATTCTTTAAGACTCAATTAAGAAACTTTTTCTAATTTAAAAAAGTCAACAAGTAGTATGTACTCACCATGCAGCAGTTGTAGCATTCAAATCTGTGTGTTTTAGTTAACAAAGCAGAATTTGAAGTCAGTCTTTTCACCCTATTGGACGTATTACCTGTTTGCAGTCTCATAAATCCCAATTAGAACTACATTACAACATCTCATGTTGGAGCTTTGAAAATAAAATAATAATTAAAATCCTTAAAGGCTTCTGATGTGAGCTGGCTGGTTTAGAATCCATCCATCCAGTGTGAATTCACGTGTCCCTGCAGCCTGGACTGACTTCGTTGTTATAAGAGCCTCTTTGTGTTTGATGGTGCTGTTTCCTTAGGATCTTTGTTGTCGCAGGACATATGACTGACTATGTGATGCCATCTCTGCTCCCTCAGGACTCTAGTGGAATATCTTCAACTGTGACTAAGCAGAAAGAAAAAATCAACAACATATTTTCCTGACCTTTTATTGATGTTTTAGTAATAAGATGAAAGTATATGTTTTTTTTAATACTCGTATATTGGAATAGAACATAGCTAAAACTGGAGTTTAGTTTGAACAAAAAACAACCCTTTGACTGAATTTTTTCATGGCTCATAAACTTTCCTCTGCTGTATTCTCAACATTTCTTCTTGTGTTTTCTATGGCCCTCAGCTGACTAGCCCATTGATCAGCAAAATGAGCAGCCAAGGAACAGTGGAGAGCGGTAAAGCTCCAAAGGTAGGCTGCTTTTTCAAAGAAAAATGCAAAAACATTAAGAGGTTCTTGGAAATCAGAAATTATTTTTTCTCCTTCAGATTGGCTCTATGGTGGAGGTGACTGGTAAAGGCCAGCGTGGTACCGTCGCCTACATCGGTGCTACGCTGTTTGCCTCAGGTAAATGGGTGGGGATCATCCTGGACGAGCCCAAAGGAAAGAATGACGGCACGGTGCAAGGGAAGCGCTACTTCACCTGTGAGGAAAATCACGGAATATTCGTCAGATCATCCCAGGTTAGTGATGGAAATATATTAAAATGATGTAACAGTACTCACCACCAAGGGGCGCCATCAGGATGTAGCAAAAGGTTTATTAGGGATTTTACTCAGAATTATTGAACTTTTCTAAAAGTTCCGTATTCACCATTCTGTAATACAAATAAGCAGCCTGTTAATACATTATCTTTAAGTCCCTTCAAGACAAAAATTACTGGTTTAATAAGTTAGTGCTTTATATTTTTCACTCCTGCAAGATTTTGGTGTTTCTTTTCCTTTCAGTATCCTAATTCTCTTAATTTTGACCTAGATAAATATCCACAGCGCAACTTGAGCTGTTTTATTGCAATTTCTTATGAAAAAATTATTAAAATGTTCCTATTTCCTCTGCTGTGGTCAAATGAGGGCGCTATGTGGTTAAAATGAGTGACTATAGAAAAGCATTGTACCAAGATAACAGAAGGATATTTAAATAAACAAAATAAATACATTAGAATTGGAATAATTTAAAATAAATAGGTATTAGTTATATTAGTATTGGATATTTAAAAAAATGATCATTTCTTTGCTCTGTTAATTTCTTTTATTAAAGCTTCAGCAAAAAAAAATGAGTAGTGAACTAATCTATAGTGGTGTATTTGTATTGAAAATATC